ATTGCTTTGTCTATTTGGGGTCTTTTGTGGTTCTATACAAATGTTAGGATTGTTTGTTGTATTTCTATGAAAAACACCGTTGGAATTTTGATAGGGTTTGCATTGAATCTGCAGATTGCTTTGGGTAGTCTGGACATTTTAACAATATTTTCCAGTCCATGAGCACACAATATTTTCCCATTTGTGTCATCTTCAGTTTCTTTCATCAATGTCTTATAGTTTTCAGTGTACAGATCTTTCATTTCCTTGGTCAAATTTATCCCCAGGTATTTTTCATGCAGTTGTACACGGGATTATTTTCTCAATTTCTCTTTCTGACAGTTCTTTGTTAGTGTATCAAAATGCAACAAATATTTGTGTATTGATTTTGTATCCTGCAACTTTACTGAATTCATTTATTCTAACAGTTTTTTTGGTGGGGTCTTTGAAGGTTTCTATATATAATATCATGTCATTGCAAAGAGTGACAGTTTCACTTTTCCTTTCCAATCTGGATAACTTTCATTTCTCGATTAATGGCTCTTGGGCTGGTCTTCTCGAGGCAACATGCAGTGAAGGTCTGTAGAGGTTGCTGCACCCTTGAAATGGAACAGCACCGCTCCACACAGTCCTCCACCTGGCCTGATTAGCATATGAATTTGCAAGCCCTGGTTTCAAGTAAGAGCAGACTGGGCAATTAGCGAACTCAGTATGAGAGTAGACTCAATGTTTACCTAATTCAGAAGTGAACTGAGGAAGAAAGAATGCAAAGGAAGTTAGAAGGCTCAAGGGGAGGTTGTGTAGTTACCCAGACTGTTATAATGAGTATATTGAGGCTCAGTTTGTCGTGGACCACTTTTATTCTTCTGTCATCAGAAAGGAGCCCTCCCCAGGACTTCCATGGTGGTCCAGTGGTTAAGAATTTGCCTTCCAATGCAGGGGGTGTGGGTTCGATCCCTGGTCCGGGAGCTAAGATCCCACATGCCTTGGTGCCAAAGAACCAAAACATAAAACAGAAGCAGTATTGTAACAAATGCAATAGACTTACAAAAATAATAATAATAACCTTAAAAAAAAAGAAAAGAAACAAAAGGAGCCCTCCCCTGCAAACTAGCTTGTGCCACCCGGTTGGCCAAGCTCTGAGCCCCTCAGAGCCTCTGTGAAGTATGCCGGGGTTCCATCCTGCTTCAGGTCAACCCCCATTAGTAGGGAACTCATGGACTCAGGAATTTTTGCAAGGAGGGTCATTTTCTCTTCTTACTTCACCCCCGCCCCCCGCCTATCCTTGCAAAAAAGGTAAAAATTCCATGGCACACCTACCCGGTGTCAGCATTCTTATATTAAGACAGATTTGCCTCTACTCACTTTGATATAGGAGCTCAGGATCTCAACTCTGTTATTAACAAAACTGGTCGTCAGAGTTGCTTTGAACAGTTGGCATATCCAAAGTGGTTGAAAAATGGCTTTCCGTGTTTCTTGTGTGCATCCTTCAAGTTCATGGCCGTCGCCCATCACCACCTGAGAGTACTTAGTGCTCAGGGATAACTAAAGAGAGAATAAATCCTGCTTGCTTTGAACACAACCCAGGGTTCAGCATATGTTCCTGTACTGGCCAAGGCTAATCAGCTCTTTCCCCCTCCTCCCCTCACTTGTGCCTGTAAATCAAGAGGCCCCAGGATTAGTCAACACAAAAGAGATAATTAGTAAGTACAAGCTGCTACCTTCATAGATCACCCTATGCCTCAGATTCAAGCTAAGCCAAGAAGCTGAAACGAGCAACATTGCACAAGTCTGAGCCTCTTTAGCAGACTATTTTTATACAAGGTTTATGAGTCTGAATGTTTAAATCTACCCTCCCCAGATATTGTAAGGATGTCTGGGATACGAGGCCAGAGGGGAGGCTTCTAAGTCATTTTATGAGGTTTTCCTTTCCTGGACTAAACTGTGTCTTTGGAACCCCAAGGATTTGAAACAGAAATGGCTTCTTAATGGCATAGTCTTGGGATTCAGAGATGTTTAAATACCTTAACTCTTCTCACAGATGTGACAGCAGAATAAGATGCTACTTTTTTTCCACTGGGATATGCTATGTCACCTCAGAAAGCCATGGCTTGTGCCTTTGCCAGCCGTTTGTCCAACTGGAAAATTCATTTCCGGCTCTGGCAGAGCACATGGTCAAGGGCATTGCTGCCCCAAGAAGAGAAATACTGTTTCCAGTCCAACGAAATAGCCTAGGAACTTCCTAACCATGTGTTGTTAACCCGATACTGCTGGCTTACAGAGAAGTGTTCCACTCGTATGTTTATGACTTTGGAGCTGCTCAAATGCACGCTGGCTTTCATTTTTTCCATCACACAATGTTTCTTCCAATTTTAGAGTTTCTCATATCAACCACTTTGCTATTTTTAAGCAGAACAATTCAAAGCCAAAGTAGCTAATCAGAAGAGTAAAACCTCACCAATTCAAGCAGGGAGCTTGTACTCTTTCAGTGAGGGAAAAACTAGCATTAGAAACCAGGGGCCTGTTTCATGTTCTATAAGATAAGGATGTAGGCTTGTAAAATCAGAGTCCTTTTCTACTAATATTAAAACCACATTTCAGGGCTTCCCTGGTGGCGCAGTGGTTGAGAGTCCGCTTGCCGATGCAGGGGACACAGGTTCGTGCCCCGGTCCGGGAAGATCCCACGTGCCGTGGAGCGGCTGGGCCCGTGAGCCATGGCCACTGAGCCTGCGCGTCTGGAGCCTGTGCTCCGCAACGGGAGAGGCCACAACAGTGAGAGCCCTGTGTACCACAGAAAACAACACAAAACAAAAAAAACACACATTTCATCAAATCATCATCATTGATTATAAGAAGCATCATATTTTATTTACCAACAAGAAAAAAATATTTTCTTTTTTTTTTTAATTGTTTCCTCCGGGTCTTAGTTGTGGCTTCAGGGCTTCTTAGTTGTGGCATGTGAACTCGTAGTTGCGGCAGCACGCATGTGGGATCTAGTTCCCTCACGAGGGCTCGAACCCGTGCCACCTGCATTGGGAGCATGGAGTCTCATCCATTGTACCACCAGGGAAGTCCCCTAACAAGAAAATTTTAAAACTGCCACTGGTTAAATCATTCCAAAACACCTTTAAAGATATCCCTGCAATGCATGGGTTGGTCAGATCAGACTTTGAAATCCATTCAGACAAATATGGTGACCTCTCCTGCCCTCTAGTTGTACTGTTTGGCATGAACTAGGCCTGTCCTTTTGGATGATCTCAGTAACAAAGTGTGACATCACTTTTCATCTCCTTGGGGGTGTCTTTCTTGCTAAGCAAATAAAGCATTTGCTTGTCTCTTTGCAAGAAAATCAGAAATTGCTGCCCTCCTTCTAACGACAAATATTTACCACCAATATCAAATTTACATGCCACTGCTCCGTTTTTGAGACTTTCCATATATACAGTAACTTTTCATTGCAATGCTTAATCATAATGTAATCTTTTCTAAGACATTGAAGAGCAATTAAACTCAGTGGCATAGTACCAAGTGTGGAGGCAACTCAGTGGAAGGGATGAGATGGACACCTGTGACCATGTTTCCTTGGACAGTGGCATTTGTGTCATGACTGCAGCTTGGCAGCCTGAAGCTGTGGGACCCCGTCAGTCACCCACGCATCCTAATCTCAGAGAAGTTAAAATGTGACAAAACAGGCATCTTAGAATGGTTGAATTATGGAATTAGCTACAATCTGTTGAGAATGTTCTATATATCTGGCAAGACATATAGAACTAAGCTCTTGACGAGACTTAATGTCAACTAGACCTTACAGCAACCCAAGATGTATGTGCAGATTAGAAAGTTTAACCAGGTTAACAAAATTGTCCCGGATCACACAGCTAGGTAAATTTCAGAGCAAGGATTCCCATCCAGACAAAAACCATAGATCTGGTTCTGTAGGCCATATAAATCATGTGTATATCAACTGCAGACTGCTGTTTGATTCCATTCATAAGCATCGCTCTAAACAGGCTCTCAAAGCATTAATTAAAATAGCTCAACCGTATAAGGTTTTCTGTCGTGAGTTGGTAAAAATAATTTATAAATTAACGTCCATTATATGCAAATTGCCACTTCTCAAAGGGACTCGCCCATTTGATTTTTGCCTTCATAACCACTGGGAAGGTGGTTTGGCTGGCTGCGGCACTTCCTCACCACAGTGAATGAGAGAGTTAAATCCTCACCATTTGCTGATCAAAACCCAACCTAAGAGCTGAGACGACTTGCCCAGTGACAACGGAAGTGCATCCATAGCAAAATATGGACTTAGATCGGTTCAAACCTCGGTGTTCTGGCCCTTACGCTTGCTCTTTTAACATGCATGGTGATAGACCTGTTTTTTAAAGACCATGAATGTTGTTTTACCTTCCCAACGTCAAAAGACATGAAAGCTTTTAGCACATGGGAGCCCCCAGCCCCTGGTCCTGGCCGCTCAGACCACCCCAGAGGTGGAGACTGGAAACCAGCAAGCCTGCCTCTAGAGAATGTGAAGCTGAACCAACTCCTGTGGCTTTGTAGTGAGGGCATTTCTGTTTCCATGGACAGTTAAATATGGAATCTGGGAGGAGCTTTGTATTTATGGTCAGCGGTTTGGGAACTAAACCCAAAAGAAGGGACTGAGAGGGTGACTAAGGACTTTCATGGTCAAAATAAACACCAGCAAGAAGGAATTACATCCAAATAGTTGAAGACTGCCAGCCTCAAGCCCCAGTCTTGTAGACCCCGTGACAGCTCTCGTAATTTGCGTTCCAGGGGCCAGGGTAGAGAGTGCTTTAACAGAATGCTGTAGACATCTTTTAAAACTTGTTCTTTCAAGTCGTTCATTCATTTGGTCGGCAAGTGTATACTGACTTACGTCCATGTGAGAAGGGAGAGGAACCAGGGGTAAGTTAATTTCCAAGGGTAGCAAGCACGTGGACTTGAAGAGGCCTGGTTGAACGATGCGCAAAGCCTTCTCTGACCTCCTGCTGGTTTTGTTGCAGCTGCAAAGGTGCCTCCCACTACGGCCTCACCAAAGACAGGAAGAGGCACTCTCAGGATGGCTGTCCAGACGGCTGTGCCAGCCTCACGGCAACAGCACTCTCCCTAGAGGTTTCTGCAGCTGCCACCATCTCCTTAATGACAGACGAGCCTGGCCTAGACAACCCTGCCTACGTGTCCACAGCAGAGGACGGTCAGCCAAACAGCCCCCTGGACTCCGGCCGGAGCAACCGAACAAGGGGTGAGTCAAAGGGGGTGGTTGTCCGGGAATGGGCTCCTTGGCCTTGGGATTGCCCTCTCTGGAAAGTTATAGAAACGTTTTTTCAAGGGAAAAACATCCTGGTAGTTTTGGCAGCAACCCAACATCCAGTTCTCCAGAGTGAAATGAAACCGCGAGGACCTGAGATCATTAGAAATGTGTGTAATCTGACCTGGCGAAAGGGGTCGAAGTTAGACCTAGTGATTCATCACTCCCTCGGTGTCCCTACCTTCCCATCCAGGTGGCTCGAGAAAAGTGCTATTATATTCCTTCCAGCCCAGGAAAAAAAACAAGCAGATTTTAAATAAACCATCCATATTGCATTGTAGAAAACTGAGAATATACAGATAAGCAAATTCTATCATTCCCACCACCTAGACGTAATCACCGTTCACGATGTGTTGTGCGTGTCTTACCAGCTGTGTCCATAAAAGACGACTTCTGTGAATGCGTAGCTACTCTCCCTCCCTTCTCTCTTGTCCTCAGCACGGCCCTTTGAGCGATCCACTATCAGAAGCAGATCTTTTAAAAAAATAAACCGAGCCTTGAGTGTTCTTCGAAGGACAAAGTGTGGAGGTACAGCTGTCAACCAAGCTGAGCAGGGCAGAGCGAATTCTGAAAACACCACTGCCCCTGACGGTAAGTGGCCTCCCAGTAAGGCTGGGCTTCCAGAATGACGACTTCAGGCGTGATGACAACCAGACCGCCCACCCCCCCGCCGCGCTTTCTATGACATCTCTCTTCCCAAGGGCATAAATATTTCTTACCTTGATTAGCCTACTTCTTGCATAAGTAACCAAGGCAGAAATTATTGTTCTCTTTTTACAAAGACTGAGGGAAAAGGTTTTGGAACCCTTACCTTCAGATGCTAGCTTAGTGCATATAAAGAACAATATAGTTTTTTTTTGTTTTAACTGAATTATGCCTCAATTTATTTATTTATTTATTTTTGTCTGCGTTGTGTCTTCGTTGCTACGCGTGGGCTTTCTCTAGTTGTGGCGAGCGAGGGCTACTCTTCGTGGCGGTACACAGGCGCTAGGTGCGCGGGCTTCAGTAGTTGTGGCATGCAGGCTCAGTAGTTGTGGCTCATGGGCTTAGTTGCTCCGCGGCTTGTGGGATCTTCCCGGACCAGGGATTGAGCCTGTGTCCCCTGCACTGGCAGGCAGATTCTTAACCACTGCACCACCAGGGAAGTCCCAAGAATAATGCAGTTAAGTGAAGAACATTTAGAACAGTGCCTGGCTCATAGTAAATGCTATGTAGGTATTTATTCTTATTGCCACTTTGTGTGATGTGTGGTTCTGAGTGTTTTCCATGCATTAACTCATTTAATCCTCAACAACTCTTTGAAGAAGCTACTACTATTATCCGTGTTTTACAGATGAGGAAACTGAGACACCAGGAGGTTACTTAGCATGCCCCAAATTACCCTTCTAAACTTGGAATCCAGGTTAATGTGGTTCTAGAATCTATGCAAAGGAAGTTTCTGGATCTTAGATCCTATGTGTTTTCCCCAGTATAAATGGAGCTGAGAAAATACTGTCCTGTCCTTTCTTTTCATCTAATATTAGACCTTTACAGCAGTAATAATAGTAGCTTAAGTTTTTTTTTTTTTTTGAGCTTTCCTGGGTGCCAGGTAGTGCTCTAAGTCATTTAAAGGTCGTAGTGCTAAGGACAGTGATCGTGATTCTCATTTTACAGAAGAAACTTAGACTCTGATAGATTGGGTAGCTAGTCCAAAGTCACCCAGCTGGAAAATGGCAGACCTAGGATTTTAACTTGGGTCCTCTGACTACAGAGCCCGATCATTTACCCACCGGATTAAGCACCCTCCACTCCTTCGAGGTTGGGAGGTAAATCCGAAACCGCCGTCTTTATCATGTTCTCAGAGAACTTGCGAGCAGTCGTATAAGACCCCCGCTTATCCCCTCTCACCCTGTACACACGCTACATGCTCTGACTACTCTGAACTTATTGCTGTCCTGTAAATACTGTGTCTCTCTCACTTCCATGTTGTCGTCCGTCCTGTACTCTCACGCCCCTTCGGCTGGCATCCTAATTCCTCTTTTCCAGGCTCAGCATAGGCTTTGCCTCCTCCTGGGAGCCCTCCTTGACTCCCTCAGTCCTCTCTCCTTTGTGTTCTCAGAGCACCTGTATCTCTGTTACAGCAATGTCACCTTTCATCGTAACTGTACCTATGGGGGCAGGGGCTCTTTATCTAAGTCTTTGTGTTCTCAAGTCCAAGCACAATATCTGGCACATAATAGTTTTTGCTGAATGTTTCTGCAATGAGTAAAAGGATTATAACTTCCTTTCTGCCAGTCTTCCCCCCTTATTAAAGGCTCCTTATTAAAGGCTCATTAATTCCATTCCATGTAAAGTTTTCTCCTACCTGAATAAGATTGATTTGCATGTTTATTGCAGAAACTTTTAAAATAAGAGATTACTATGTATAAGACATTGGCCTAGGCTCTGTACTTTTTTCTTTTACTGAAGTATAATTGATTTACAATATTATGTTAGTTTCAGATGAGCCACATAGTGATTCAATATTTTTATAGATTATACTCCTTTTATAGTTATTATAAAATATTGGCTATATTCCCTGTGCTGTGCAATATATCCTTGTAGCTTATTTATTTTATACATAGTCGTTTGTACCTCTTAATCCCCTACCCCATTTTATTCCCCTCCTCTTCCCTCTCCCCACTGGTAACCACTAGTTTGAGCTCTATATCTGTGAATCTGTTTCTGTTTTTATTTTCTAGATTCCACATGTAAGTGATAACATACAGTATTTGTCTTTTTCTGTCTGACTTATTTCACTTAACATAATACCCTCCAGGTCCATCTACATTGTTGCAAACAGCAGAATTTCATTCTTGTTTATGGCTGAGTAGTATTCCATTGTATACATACCACATCTTCTTTATCTGTTCATCTGTTGATGGACACTTAACCAAGCTATGGAAGCAACCTATCTTGGTAAATAATGCAGCTATGAACGCTGAGGTGCATGTATCTTTTCAGATGAATGCTTTCGTTTTCTTTGGATATATACCGAGGAATGGAATTACTGGATGATATGGTAGTTCTATTTTTAGTTACTTGAAAAACCTCCATACTGTTTTCTATAGTGGCTGCATCAATCTACATTCCTACCAACAGTGTACTAGGGTTCCCTTTTCTCCACATCCTCGCCATCATTTGTTATTTGAAGACTTTTTTTTTTTTTCTGCGGTACGCGGGCCTCACACTGCTGTGGCCTCTCCCGTTGCGGAGCACAGGCTCCGGATGCACAGGCTCAGCGGCCATGGCTCACGGGCCCAGCCGCTCCATGGCATGTGGGATCCTCGTGGACTGGGGCACGAGCCCGTGTCCCCTGCATCAGCAGGCAGACTCTCAACCACTGCACCACCAGGGAAGCCCTTGAAGACTTTTTGATGATGGCCATTCTGACAGGTATGAGGTGATTAGCGATGTTGAGCATCTTTTCATGTGCCTGTTGGCCATATCTGTACATCCTCTTTGGAAAAATGCCTTTTCATGACCTCTGCCCATTTTTTAATCAGGTTGTTTGTTTTTTTGATATTGAGTTGTATGAGCTGTTTATATAGTTAAGCTCTGTACTTTTATATAAAGATTATAAAATCCAGCTCCTGGCTCCAAGAAGTTCATTCAAGACTAAAAAAATAAAATACCAGAAAGAGTGAGATATAAATAAACGAAAATGACAGCTGTCAAGAGAGACGCACCACTTCCCAGTGGGACGGTGTAATCCGTGTTTAAGGAGTGGTTATGATCCGGATGGGCATGGGAATCTTGACTGTGTGTTGCAAAGTAGTGGGAGATGAGGTTAAGGCCAGATTAGAAGGGTCCTGGATGCCATTTAGGAGTCTTGACTTGGGGCAGTGAACACACCTGAAGGCTTTTGCGTAGAGGTATAGCAGGATGGAAGCTGTGTTTCGGGAAGATGAAGATGGCATCTGTGTTATGTGCGCAGGGGCTTCAAGTAGGAGAGAATGGATTTCCTCAGGTGCTCCAGGAAGCTATTACTACACAGTGGGGCGAGGTATTGAGACTCAGTGAGGCTGGTACAGGATTTGTGAGGCAACAAAGCTTTTAAAAATGGCCTTAGGATCTCATTGCTTCAGTAAGTAACCTGCGGTTAGTATGGTGAACACCCATGGTTTATCCATCCTTTTCATATCAGTAAAGAGACTGGCTTCACTACTTATCAGCTGTGTGACCTGGCCAGGTTACTTGACTTCTCTGAGCTTTAGTATTTCATCATCCCAAAAAACGGGTGATAATAATCTAGTTCAAAGGGTTGCTGTGAGGACTAAACAAACAACAAAATGTCATGCAAGTTGCTTAGCTCGATGGCCAGCATATAATAAACACTTGGTAAATGATACTATATCCCTTAGTCCTTAAGTAAGGACACAATATTGAACAACTGTTTCTTTTCAGACCAGCACTGGTTTGGCAGTTTAAAAATTACTTTAACTCTCGAAGGGAAGGTCACTAGGGTCTCTTTATTGTAGCTCTAATTAACATTTCCAAGTGTGACCGGGTATGTCCTTTCAGACTATCAAACATCCTTGATTGGTTAGATTTGGGAGCATGGTTTTTGTAAATCTGTTGGGAAAAAGAGTAGAAAGGGAGAGGGAGGAGAGAGAGAAAACCAGCGGCTTTGATGATAATTTCCAAATCTTTCTTTGCTCAAAATGATTTTTTTTAAGAACTTCCATTTCCTTGTTACCAGACCTGTTCCAACAAATACTTGTGGATAGAGCCTACTTAAGGTAATCAAGATAGTTTAAACGTTAATTGAACTCGGTCACTCAAGCACTGTTAGCACCAGGAGCTGACAGATGAAGGCTGCTGCCCACAGCCTTACAGCAAAGCCCAATTGCTTACATTAAATTAACTCCCAGTGGGGGGTAAAGACCCACATTTACAACGTCTCCAGCTTCCTCTGGCAGCTAAATTGCTTTGTTTTTCATGTTCTGCAATACTTAGAAATAATTTTAATTCTTGCTCTATTGTTCCTAGAGAGTTGAGTACTCATTCATGAACTCATAGTTCATTAGGGAAAATGCATTAAGGTCATGGGTTTTGAAAATAGAAAGAGTGTTTTATGTAGAACCAGGCCTGCGGTTTTGATCTTTCCTGATGACATAATTAAGGGAGAATCATAGGGCAGAGGCAGCTGTCAGCAGCTACAGGAGACAAAAGCATCAGCGCTCTCAACATCCTAACTCGAGCCTCCAGCAACTGGGGAGGAGCTGCAGCTCCCGTCAAACTGGGTGTTGCGTGGCCGGCATTTGCTGGTGTCCCCCCTCCCACCCCGCCCCCCGTAGGCTTCTATTCCAACCGAGGTGGAGAACAGCGCCAGTCGCTGCTGCTGGCTATGGGTCTGTAGACCAAGTCCCCTGTGGACCAGTTGCCGGCTGTGGACCCCTGGCTTCAGAGGACTCTGAGGAAGGTGACAGGAGCGTCGTCAGGAGCCCCGGGTTCTGACCTGGCTCTGAGGACCACCCCCTAACTGCCACCTCCAGCCAGTCTGTGTCACTTCTCTCCGAGCTCACGCATCCTCCCTTGTGAAACAAAAGGTCTGACTGTCACTGTCAAACTGCACAGCCTGAGAAGCTCTTCTGTGTGTGGGCCCAGCAGGGCGGGGGACCCGTGACAGATCTCAAGGGGAAAGAG